CTGGAGAGCCTCAAAGCTGCAGCCATAGAAAACACATAGCGGACACTGGTGCGACGAAGGGATACTCGGAGGCCGAAGATGTCGGACTTGTACATCACTACGAAACCCTCGGTCTAACGAATCACGAAGATGGCGTCGGCATATTGCCCGTGAGGCGAACGTGGTAAGACACACGCAGCATTGGTTTGAGACACTCAGGATACCCGATAGAGCTTGATTTCCGTGTCTAGCTATAATATGGGTGTGTACTGCACGTCGGTCTGGTAAGATAGCTCCACAAACACTGCCACTGCTGTCACACATCATGCACCTAGACTGTTTCTCGAGTTCGATCACGCTAGGGGTAAAGTCAGGCTCGGGTCCAGGACCAGGAACATGTTCAGGAGGGGGTACGGCTACAGCTAAGGATCTACTCCGAAGCTCACGAACATCAATACTCATAAACTTATCCCCCGCCTCCTCCGAACGAAACAGCCCCAGAAAACGCCCATCAAGAAGAGCGAGCAGGTCAGGGCCCTCTCCAAGGACCCCCAGGGCCTCCGCGTCGTCCCAGTACATCTTTACCCAGGGATGAGCCTCGGGATCTAGACAGCCATTCCCCCGAAACGAGTGTCGTTTTCCAACAGTAGCAAAGAGCGCTGCAATGACTTGTTTGTGAAACTGCGGTCGACGCACCAGTTCCTGCAAGAACCGTAGTCGCCGAATCCGAGCTTCCAGCTCGGGAGAAACCAGCCGCCGGCAGGCCAGCACATCTGCATTAGAGAGAGAGAGAGAGAGAGAGAGAGAGAGAGAGAGAGAGAGAGAGAGAAAAAGAGAGAGAGAGAGAGAGAGAGAGAGAGAGAGAGAGAGAGAGAACGAGGGTGGCGCTCAGCGCGTGGATCAAACGCACCACCACGCATAGCACGCCGAGCAAAGGATGCAATCTGATTCGTCAGCCTCCGATATTCTGCACCAGTAGGCACATGCGCCTCAATCCCAGAAGGTCCTGCATTATAAACCTTGCTCATGAAAAGACAGCGTCGCAATCGATGCGGAATCCCAGGGAGTTGCCAGAAAATCCCCATGGAGTAAAAACCGACTGCGTTGCGTTACATCTTGCTTTTAGTTCGACAGCATACCGATGAGGCTGAGCAGACATCTGGAAGCCTAGCGATTTAATAAGCTGCGCGGCACGCCCAGGGAAAGACAGAGCACCTTCGCGCAGAAGTCGAAGTGCCTCAGAAGAGCCCCTCCCCACCAGACATACCAGCGTATCCTGCTTGCTAAGATTCTGCTCGTACCCATCCCGTAGGAGAGAGTTGTCTAGATCAGCATTGATACGTCGGCTAAGCTCGATAAGCTCCCGTAGACTAGTGAAGCCCCCTCCCACCAGCTTCTTAGTCAGATCATCCGCGTACTTAATTAAGGACAGGTCCTGCATCGCGCCAGACACGGGGCAGCGGACATGCAAATAGCGAGAGTAGCGATCCCACTGGTGCTGGGCCTCACGCCAGCGCTCCACAGCAGGCGAGAACGTGTGCACGAACGAGCGAACGGCAAATCCGTCTCCCATGAGGCCCCCGCTGCTGGGTCTCAGCGTCACCTGCTCATCAGAACCCCGAAGCTGAATCACTGCCCACCTATATCGGTGCTCCCCGAAGCCCAAGGAATCTGCCCAGAACATGCATGAAATTGCCGTTCGCATGGATGCCCAGCTACTCGAGCTGAACGCGTTGGCGAGGTCATGAGCGTTCGTCACGTGCGAGAGACCCTCACGCCACAGATGATAACCACTAATATTCTGTACAAGCTGCGCCTCCTCACGCCTATGATACGGCACAAATCCATGATCACAATCTCCAAAAAGCCCCGGCCCGCGCTGGTGCATCAAACTAGTCATGAAGAGCTTGCCCATGGGATCTAAAAGGTGGACCCAGCGAGTTTTTCCATCAGGCTTGGGAAGAGGAGCCCCTTCACTACAGTGCCACCTGATAGGTGCCCACCCCGAACTCCGAATCCTCGCCAGACTACCGAAGACGAACTTCTGGAACTCAGGAAGACGCAGCCCCTCTTTTGAAGCACCCAGACCAGCCAGTTTTACCTTGCAGTTCTTGAGCGGGTGCAAAACCAGCCACCATAGCTCCAGAGGAGGGGCCCAGGAGGGCCCAGCACGACGCTTTCCAGCTTTCAGGAGGGCCCGGCGGATTCCTTTGAGGTCGAGGCTGGCAGCTTTGCGCTCCGCATATGTGGGTTCAGCATGAGGTAGCGCGCGAGACAGAAGCCAATCTCTCCATCCCTCCCAATGTGGTATCTGCGTAGCCCCCACTCCCCCCTCAGCTCCAGGACGCGAAAAATCGGCAACAATTTCAGAAGCACTAGCTACTACTCCCCGTATCGAAAGATAATCGCGTCGTTTCGGGCCGAATCGAGTACCTCCTACACGTCGACAGAGTCGAGAGGCTTCGGCGAGTCGTCGATCCCTCCAAAGCTCGTGTATCTCCTCAGTTAGCTGCTGCTGACGAGCACGCGCTTCGCGTCGAAGACGTTTGCCGTTCTGGCGAGACAACTCAGAAAGCTGCTTCACTATCTGCTGCTCCTCATCATCACTCACAGCACATGCAAGTCCCATACGAAGCTCGCGCCGACGATCCAGAAGAGCCCGTCGTTCCTGTGCCATCGGATGCCGAGGGCGCGCCTCAGCACCAAAGAACTGCTGGCCAATCTGGATCAACATATCATTCAGATAATCAAACGCCTGGTCAGCTGTGGGCAGAGAAAGCAGACGATCGCACAGCCCAGAGTCATTATGGATACGCGCCTCGACAGCCTCCAAGAAGTCCCTCCTGCCAATGCCCTTGCGCAGCGCCAGCATAAGAGTGTCAAGATCCCACCGAGGACGCTCCACAGCAACACTGACCGCCTGAGGATCCAGAACATAATCGAGACCCATGCGGATGAACAAATGATCAGACACTGCACGTCGTCGAACATACTGTAGTTCTCTGCTCAGACGGTGAAGCGGACCAGCACTTCGACTATGTTGAACGAGGGCAGCTGGCGCCGCAATAATGTCAATCCAGCTAGACTCCCCACGAGGACCATAGTACGTGGGACTGAAGCCTTTGTAGCTATTTGCCACCTGCAGTCCATGAAGAGAGAACAGCTTTGCCAGCTCAGCACCTGCAAAGACCCCACGTGTAGCACTATCAGGCCTGACCACCATCAGTTCATCAGAAACCCATTGCTCATTTATCTGGGTAGGCCCCATGCCGTCATTGACATCAGCACATACAAATGGAGTCGTACGCTGAGGTAGCGACGCAAGGCGAGGGGCCAGCCAAGCAATCAGCTCGTTCACGGTGCGACGATAACGTGTCCACTCATGTGAATACTTAGGCTTGGGAGGAAAGTAAAGTGCAATGATCGTCACGTCATATCTGCCAGAGCGTGCACGGCACAAGAGGCCGCGACCACCAATCAAAGAGGGAGTACATTCTGTGCGTATTAAATGCTCCACCTTCACCCGCGATCCCCACATGATAGAGACACCACAGTGCAAGTTAGTGAGCTCACCCGTAGTCCAGCCCGCCTCGATGACCACCCTGTTTCCCACCTGCCGTTTCCGAAGAGACGTTCCTCGGGTGGCCTTGCTGCGAGTGCCGATGAGCGCTATGCCGTCGAAGTTCTTCGTGCGGTCCGCAATGTCAGTCAACCTATCGAGGGAGGCGGACTGCATGGGATTGTAGGAACCAATCGTCAAAGGAAAAGTAGACATGACTGCGCAAGCGAGCCGCCAGAAGCTGGGACACCTCAGCGACATGAGAGTAGCATACAGTATGGATAGAACGTGAGTGAAAGGGGTCGGCCAGGCAGCATCCTTGCTGTGCCGAGCTGGCTGAAGGAGGAGGAGGAGGAGGAGGAGGAGGAGGAGGAGGAGGAGAAGAGAGGGGGGGCCCTCCCGTGCGCTCTGTGAGAGGGGGGGGCTACGTAGGGAGGAGGAGGAGGAGGAGGAGGAGGAGGAGGAGGAGGAGGAGGTGGGCGAGGGGAGGATGAGGCAAGCCAGGTGCGCTCGCGCCCTATCTGGCATCCTACCCCTCCCACCCGTCCCTCCCATTGCGCCGGAAGAGAAAGGGAGCTGGGCTCAGTGGATGAGCAGGAACAGAAGGGTGAGAAAGGAGGAGGACTGGGACGAAAAGCAGCAACAGGAGCTGGAGTGGAAGGAGCGGGAGAAGCAGAAGAACCAGGGGAAGGCGGAGGAGAGGAAATGAGGGGGGGCGACAACAAGGAAAAAGGGCTCGAATCCAGAGGAGTGGCCCGCGCAGGGCAAGAGCGCGCAAAGCGACGAAACGAAACTGAAACCCACGCTGCAGCGGGAACACCGTTTTGCAATACTGAAAAAACCGTAGTTCAAAACAATAGCATCAAGAACAACAAAAAACATTTGCAACCCTGCGAATCACGTACAATACGCATAAGGAGCTGGCTATCTTCTGGATGGAGCCCCGGGAGATAGAAGAGTAGTACTCATGATGCGAAAGTGAAGTGGAGGAAGAAGGATAGGCGAGCTATTAAGCATGTCGTTCCCCAGAGACGGGAGGGGAGGGATGAGAAGGACGAGGAACAGGGCGGCAACTTTCAAGCGAGCCCATCGTTAGCGGTAGTGCCCACGGTGATCCTCCCCCTCCTCCTCCTCCTCCTCCTCCTCCTCCTCCTCCTCCTCCTCCTCCTCCTCCTCCTCCTCCTCCTCCTCCTCCGCCTCCTCCTCCTCCTCCCCTTCCTCCCTCCTCCTCCTCCTCCTCCTCCTCCCTCCTCCTCCTCCTCCTCCCCCTCCTCCTCCTCCTCCTCCTCCTCCTCCTCCTCCACCTCCTCTTCCCCCTCCTCCACCTCCTCCTCCTCCCCTTCCGCCTCCTCTTCCGTCTCCCGGCCTACTCCTCCGCCTCCGCCTCCCGAACCCCTCCCCCTCCCCCGCCGCTTCCTTCTCACCTCCTCCTTCCCCTCCCCCATGAGGAGCAGCGGCATGCCTCGGCGCGCAGCGCCCCGATCATGGGCTTTGGTAGGTCCCGGAAGTAGCCGACGTCGTCCTCGTGCACGCGGCTGTTGTAGAGGCGGAAATTCCACCGGAAACTGCGCAGCACCTGAGGTGAAGGGGCAGGGGCGGAGGAGGAGAAGGAGGAGAAGGAGGAGGAGGAGGAGGAGGGAGGAGGAGTTCGGGGAGTTCGCTCGGGACGCTGTCCCGTAGGAGGGAGGAGGAGGAGGAGGAGGAGGAGGAGGAGGAGGAGGAGGAGGAGGAGCAGGAGGAGGAGGCGGAGGAGGAGGAGGCGGAGGAGGAGGAGGAGGAGAAAGGAGAGGAAGAGGAGGAGGATGAGAAGGAAGAGGAGGAGGAGGACCTGGATTGACGTCGCGCCCGTACGATCGCCCCGCCATGGCGAGGAGCGAGGACCATCACGCGCCGAGCCCTCTTCGTCGGATCCGCTCGAGGGAGCGAAGCGAAGCGAAGCGAACGCTGGAGTCGTGTGTGCTCCTCTGGGGAGCCCGCCAGGGGCATGAAGTGGAGGCCGTGGCCTCGACAGGGAAGATCTCCGATTCGGGCTTGTGGGACGTGTGCCCGCTCAAATGATGCCCACTACTCTGTGCACCAAGCGGCCAGGATCCATCGCAGGTCGCTCGTGTTGCTGTGCTCGTATTGTCGAGGAGGATCGAGGATCGGAGGATCGAGGATCAAGGAGGATAGAGGAGGTCTCGGGCTCCTCTGGGGAGTCGAAGACCAAGGAGGAGGCGCGAGGGTCGGAGGATCGGTGGCCGACGAGGTCTGGGATGTTTTTTGGGCGTTCACAGGAAGCTGCGCAGCACCTGCAGGGATTCCTATAGGCCTACCACGACATGTTCGTAGAAGCCAAACATTCTCGAATAACAAAAACAATGTTCTTAGACCACAACCCGATGTGTTCAAGCAAGACAGTCCCAGCCAGAAATTCGGGGATGGACAAACCCCCCTTTAGTACAACGTGGTTTAGTGAAAACGACCTGAGGCCCAAACCTGGCGGGCGCAAGCCTGGAAAATAACGGCCACGGCGCCCTCTCGAGAACCGAAAACGGACAATTCACTAATCGACGTGTCACTGTTGGGGGTTCTGTCCACTCCCGAGAAATGTTCTAAGAACATTTCGTGCAGACCACAAATGGTTTCGCCCGCCTTCGGGCCCCTGGGGCCCTCGCAGATCGACAGGGCCTGAAACATGGCACCCAGTGCGGGGGTGCAGAGCGCTCTGGTCGCCCTCCCCCTCCGCCCACGAGCGGCGAACGCATCCGGATCCACGCCCTCGACGTCTGGACTCCGGGGCGAAGTCCCGCGCATACGCGGTCGCACGGGTACTTTTTGAAGGGGCCCAAGGACACACAAACTAACACACACACACACACACGCACAACTGGCAATATCCCCTATGTTTTTCAATTTTTTTTTGATTTCCGTCTTCTCCCCCACTTCCCATAACTATTTCCTTATGTTTTCCGGGGAGTCGACGATTAATTGTGTCTGTGTGTTTGTTCCCCTCCTGAACTTTCCACGCGGGGCATCCGCGAAAAAACGCCCCGCATCCACGGTCGGGCCTCTACCAGCCCGAGCCAAGTGCAAACCCCGGTCCGTGAAATCCGGCGCTCCGGCGGACACCCTTGAGACCCCCGCCTCTATCGGGGGCGCGCTAACATGGATTAGCGATTCATGGATTAGGCGCGCGGTCGCCAAATACATGGATCGGGGAGGTGCCCTCCCCAAAATGCGGCCGGTGCCGCCTCGCTCGGCGGCTGAAGTCCGCGATTTCCCATGGGAACGGGGCCCGTCGCCAATCCACGCCCCCCTTGATCCGTGTCTGCGATCGCCTGACTCTACCAGCTCGGGCGAGGCCGAGGCCCAGAGGCCTGGCCCGCGAGGCCGCGCATGCAGACATGTGTTCGCCCACGAGCACCATTCCCCTCTGGCCCTCCCCCTCGGCAATTCCGCGCATCTGGCGGGGGGTTCTGGCGAGAAGGGGTGCGTCCGAGTAGCCCCCAGAGGTGCGTTCGCGTGTCCCCCCCTTTTCTGAAAAGCACACGCTCGGGGGGAACTCGGGGACTGGGGTCGGCAAATCGCTTGCGGACATACCTCGTCTTCCTCATCTCGGGCGCACGTCTTCCTCATCTCTCGGGAGCGGCCAACAGGGGGATGTCCGAGAAGGGGGGGGGGTGCAAATCATGACCAGCGGCATGTGCGCGGCCCAGCGGGGGGGCCAGGGACGTACTGAAATAAGAAGAGGCGCCATGAGATCAGGGGAAAAAATCATGGCCCCCGCCATGATATCCCCCCCCCTAGTCATCACCCCCCTCTTTGCCGCCCCCGACTCATCTCGGTCGCACGTCTTCCTCATCTTGGGCTCACGCTGACATGGACCAGGATTCCGAGGACCTGGCGCGCGGGCGCCGGCTCCACGGATCGGGTAAACTACCCAAAGCATGAAGCCAAACCGGCCTGACTTGGCGACGGAGCGCGCCGATTCTGCATGGAAACGGGGCCCGCCGCTGATCCACGCGCCTCAATCCATGCTTGCGCTTCCCGGAGCACCGTCTTCCTCCCTCTTCCCCTCCTCTTCCGCCTCACCCTTTCCCTCTCCCCCCCATCAAATGGGATCGGATCTGCACGCGTATCGAATCGGACCGACCGCATCGGCACGGGGTCGGGATCGAATCGGCGGCCCAAGGGTGCACAATAGCGCCACGCAAGCCTCGGGCCGCATCGGATCGCCCGAAAATCAGAATGGAATCGAATCGGGCCAGGCAGAGCCGTTATCCAGTCAGATCGATCGGATCGAAACGAGCCCTGACATCCCTTCTCCAGGCCTTGTACGACAGGCCTCGCGACACCTGGTGCTCCTCCAGGAAGAGCTTTATCTGAGCGAGCTGCTCGCGGTACGCCTTGTGCGATTCATGGTACTGCTGGACCTAAGTTGTTGTTAAACAACTAAGAACGCTTCTAGTGGTGCTCAATGCTGCGGTTTTCAGCGAACAGAAACGGCAACATAACATCGATCTTGAAAACGGCCAAAACGCCCCCCCCCCCACATGTGTGTAACATCATCTAAGAGCTGGGCCCAGAAGCTGGAGTAGGCTATGGTCATGGCCAAAAGGACGAGCCACGCAAAGCCACAGATCGTTGTGAAGCTGCTCTCCATCCAGTTCGAGGCATAAATGTTGCTGGAAGCAAAGTTGGACTGTGACAGGGCCCAAAGGAAAGAAACCGCGTAGACCTCTGCAGCCGGGGAGTCCACCATGTCGGCCTGCACGAGCCAGGTGGTTGGCAGCTGAACCAGTCCAGATTCAATATCGGTGGGGTTCGCGAGGTCGTACCAGTAACACGCCATGAAATGGCAGACAAACAAGAACGCGACAATGAATAACAAACTCCTCAGTAAGAGCAGTGCTCCAAGAGAGAACATGGCCTCGACCTTCTCCCGAGCTCTCTTCATGACCTTGACAACACGTACCAGTCGAAACACCTGTACGATCTTCCAGGCTCGAATGTACCTGCCCATGACGCAAACAGGCACCGTCTTACGAGCCCGAAGGGGCGTGGTGTTCCTCCACCTTCTTCAGCCTCCCCCTTAGTATCGTATATGATTCCTTTCGCCGTCTCATCTCATCTCTTTGTTTCTCTATTTCTCTAGTTTTCTCTCTCTCTCTCTCTCTTTCTCTCTCTCTCTCTCTCTTTCTCCCTCGCTATCTCTGTCTCTCTCTCATCTCATCTCCTCTCCTCTCTCTCTCCTCACCTCTCCTCTCCTCGCCTCTCCCCTCCTACACCTCCACACCATCAGCACCTTCATTATGCTCATTCCCGTCTTCATCATCATCCTCACGATACTCTGTCTTGGCCACCTCTCCTCAATCCCTCCGACTCTCACAAACCTCAACACTCTCATCTTCCCCCTTGCCCCCTATCCCCTTATCATCCTCTTCACCTCCCGCCGCCACACCTCCCCCCAACGACTCATGTCCATTATCCGTCTCCTCACGGTTGGGCCAAGAGGTGCCTGTTCGCACGCCCGATCGAGTTCACGGTGTCTCCTACTCCAAGGAAGAAGCGTGCCCAATCCATGCCGACAATCAGGAAGTCCAACAGAAACCAAGACCTCATGTACGCGATCGCGACTTGCCTGCGGGTAGGATGGGGAAGGAGGAGGAGGAGGAGGAGGAGAAGGAGGAGGAGGGGGTCAGGGAGGAGAGAAGAGCAGAAAACGAACGAAGAAAATGAGCAGGAGGGAGTGAAGGCGAGCGCTGCATGCCTGTGGCGCATCTCTATCCCCTTCCTGGTCTCGAACCCCGTGATAAAAGATCGCATCATATCGAGCGTCCAGTACACCGTGATGACCTTGCTGACTCCTCCAACCTCTCCCCCCTCCCCCCCCCCAGCCACTCCGTCCTCCCGAACCCCTCCACACCCTTACAACTCGTCTCCCAGAAGCGGTCAGCAAGCACAGTGGCGCGTCGCCCAAGCTCCCAAGCGTCGCAACGTCGACAGCGCCTGCTGGCGGCGCGGCGCCGGGAACTGCAGGAGCCTCAACTGAGGGGCAACGATAGGGGGGGACTGGCATAGGGGGGGATGCATCGACCTGGAATCGACAATACACCGCCGATAGATCGGTGATAGGCTCCCGATAACGAGTCCGCACCCTCCTGGGCAGTTTGGGGCTATCAGACCCCTATTGGCGATCCGTGGACGATTGGGTGTCGATGCATCATCCCCTCCTATGTCCATGCCCCCCTATCGTTGCCCCCGACCAACGTTTGCGGCCCCAGCGACTGCGGGGGCAGCGGCAGGCCCAGAGGCGGCGGGGCCTTCCTCGGCCGCCGCCGCACCGGCGGCAAGGGCCTCCGCGCCGACCCCACGCACAGCGGCAGCAACCCGCGCGCGGAGCTGCTCGACGAGCGCCGCGGCCTCGCCGCCGCCTCCGGCGCCCCCTCCGCGCAGCTGCAGCACCGAGGTGGCAGCCGCCGGCGTGCCGAGGGCTGCGGCTGGACTCGGACCGCCGATGCCTGTCCAGCGCTGGTCGCACCTCTGGCGGCGAGGCCGCACTGGTGCTGCATGCGACTCGCGGCAGCCTCGAACTGCCGACTCCCAGCGTAGCAGCACTCGGCTTCGCTGCTTGCTGGGCCCAAACAGGTCGGCGCAGCCGTCTGTCCCACAAGATCTCAACCGTCCCCCCCCCTTGGTGGAAGATGGTTGCTCAATGTCCAAGTCGATTTCTACGCATGCCCCCACGGCGATCCATCGATCCCCGCAGACACCAGGGACCATCATCACCTTAGTATGGGGCCGGAGGATCGCGCCGCATCGCGAATGCATCGCCAATGAATCGGCGATACATCGGCGGTGCATCGACGACGCTGGCGACGCATCGGCGCCATCGGCGTGGGAAATCCTGGCTCCACATCGAGCTGCATCGCTGACGCATCGGCGATGCGGCGCGATCCTTCGACCCCATCTACTCGGACCCCATTTCAAAGGCATGCAGTCGTCGTACTACCCCAGGGAGGGCCTGGGCCACAAACAGGTTCCAAGACATACAACTGGAGAACGGCCCGAAAATCAGAGCCCCTCGTGGGCCTCAAGCGGTCCTGATGCCAGCGTCTTGACTGTAGGAAGGAAGAAGGACAAGCGACACCACCACCACCAGGGACCACCAGCGGGAGGAGCCAGGGTGGGTCCCCCTGGTGGTGTGGTCCCCCCTCCCCTCGCTCGAGACGTCCCCGAGCCCCAGCTCGGAGAGGCATCGTGGACCTCCTCGCTGGAGGTGCCCCCCCCGATGGTGGTGGTGTCGCTTCTCCCCTCCCCGATGTAGAGTGTGTGAGGTCCCCTCCTGGCCCCACAGCCACAGCCGCTTCCGCCGCGTGCCTCTGCGCCCTCCCGTTTGGACCGCTCGATGTCGAGAGCCCGCCGAGGGGCTGGCCTCCATCGCGAACGCCCTCCCACGGGCCGGGCCCCACCGCGAGAGCCATCCCGTGATGCCAAACTCACGTTGGACAATGGCGCCGGGCTCAAGTGGAACAAACTAGCGAGCGGAGCAAGGCAGAGCAACACGGAGCAAAAGCGAGCAGCGCGAAGCACGGCTCTCGGGATTCTCGTGGGCCATGCCTCGTCGATAGCATCCCTCGGGCCAAGCCCCGTTTTGCATACCCTCCCGTGGGCCGAGTCGCGTTGGTCGGAGCGTGCTTTCCATAGGCCACGCCCTCTGCAAAGGCTCTCGCATGATGCTATGCGTTCGGACTTGCACTGGTCGTACAGCTGGCGGAACGCCCGAATGTGTGACGCGTGACGTGCTGGCGGACCCACCCACCCCTCCTGTGTTTCAGGTGGCCACTCTCCGCCACGAGGCCAAACCACATAGGGCTCGAGCCCTGTGGGTCGGCCTCGTCGCTGCACCGCCATCAACTTGGAGCATCACCTTGGGATCAAGTGCCCCCTTGTGGATTACAGAAGTCCCCCTTCCGTCGCCTCCCTCCTCCCTCCTCCACCCACCATTACCATTATCCTCCCCCTCCGCCGCCTCCTCCTGGTCCTCCTCCGTCTCCTGCTCCTTGTTCCCCTCCTCTCTCTCTCTCTCTCCAACCTCCTCGCTCCTCCCTCGCCCTCCTCCATGGTGCCACGACCTGGCTCATGAATCGAAAGGCGCTGTGCATGTGAACGGGCATTAACAGCAGCGGCGTCATGATCATGTCGTACAGGAGAAGGACGGCACCGTGGTCATTTGGCCGACCAGAGGACCAGCGGGGTCGGAAACATTCAATCATATCCTCGCAACGCATGCTAAATGCAGGCCGCATTTACATGGAATGTGGTCAACGTAGACTGGGTTTAGGCCCGCCCGCGGGGCAAGACGGGAAAATGAAGGCCCGCCGATCGTTTAAGCAGGAGTGCACCCAAGGCAGACTGGGATCTCGGTGTCCGAAAAAATGCGCGCATGACGACGTGTTCGACGACGGCGGCGCTCAGAAGGTGGGGGGCCGCGAGGGTTTAGGGGTCCAGTTTCCCCAACGACGCCGACCACGGACGGCATCACCACCGTGTGACCTCCACCGATCGGGTACTCGGCCCGCGCCGATGCAAGAAGCGTAAAGAGCCTGGGCATGCGCAGCGGTCTCTGGGGGGGGGGGGGGCTGGGGGCAGGGGGATCTTGAAGAGGCCCTGGGACACACAAATAAATACACACAAATAAAAGCAGTCCCCCTATTTTCCTATATTTTCTGAGCTTTTGTCTTCCCCCCCACTTCCCATCTTTTGCCATCTTTTCTGGAAAACCGACGATTCATTGTGTCTGCGTGTCTCTTTCCCTCCCGAGATCTGCGCGGCTGCTCCTGGGCCGCCCCGACCTCCGGCCTTGGGCGCGCGAGTTTGGGGTACAGCGAGGGTGTTTGCCGACAGCCAACGGCGGCCGCCGTGGGACAGGTGGCCGTCTGTGGGGCGGCTCAGGGGTGACCAAAAAATGGCAGAGTTTGCGTTCCAGCGCATTTTCTTTTGCGGCGTTGGGCGCCCTGGCGCGGACGGCCGAACGACCCCTGCAGCGGGACACCCTGCCCACACGGTCGGCGCCGCAAAAACTGCGCGTTCAACGCGGGCGCCGCACATGGACAAAGTGCGCGGCGACACCGACAAAGACGCCTGTTGAAATCAGCAGGAAACGAGCCACTCTCTCCGTACCCATGTCTGACGGGGCCCAGGAACCCGCAAATAAACAGACACAAACCCCATGCTTCCCCAGAATTGTTTATATTTCTGGGTTTTCGTCTTCCTCCCACTTCCCATGTTTTCCCACATGTTCCTTTATTTTCCTGAGGATCGACGATCCATGGTGTCTGTGTGCTTTTTCCCCTCTTGAGTGCCGATCGTCCCGAGCGGCTTCGTTTCGTCTTCCTCCCACTTCCCGTAGTTTCCCACATTTCCCCAATATTTTCCTGACGAGCGACGATCCATTGTGTCTGTGTGCCTTTCCCCCTCCTGAATTCGGGGGCGCGCAGACATGGATGAGCGATCCATGGAAGCGGCCGGCGCCGCCTCGCTCGGCGGCGGAAATCCGCGATTTCCCACGGAAACGGGACCCTAAACCCTAAACCCTAAACCCCAAACCCTAAACCCGTCGCTAATCCACGCCCCCTTAAAATCCATGCTTGCGATCGCCTCCCGAATGCCGATCGTCCCGAGCGGCTTCGTGCTCTCTACCCCGCGGGGCTCCCGGGGAGCTCTCGGCGCCCCTGCCCCCGAGGGCAGGCTCGCCGCCCCGGGGGCCGCGCCAGACCGCGAGGCCCGCGGCGTGGAGCAGATCACCCCGTTGGGAGGATTCGAGCAGGAGGTCGACTACAGAAGAGATGTACCCCCTACTGACTTGTTCTTTGGGCGCCCGAGTTATCCGGAGTAACTCGGGTCCGGGGTAACTCGGGTTTGGATTCCCGAAAAAGGAACCCGAGTTAGCCCTGACCCGAGTTACCCCTGATGATTCGGGGCTCTGGACGCCCGAAATATCCGGGGTAACTCGGGTCCGGGGTAACTCGGGTTCGGATTCCCGAAACACGAACCCGAGTTAACCCTGACCCGAGTTACCCCTGATGATTCGGGGCTCTGGACGCCCGAGTTATCCGGGGTAACTCGGGTCCGGGGTAACTCGGGTTCGGATTCCCGAAACACGAACCCGAGTTAACCCTGACCCGAGTTATCCCTGATGATTCGGGGCTCTGAGTTCTGTCGACACGAAAGAGCGCAGAATGGCCCTCGGTGGACGACGATGTTGCTTCACCTCTGGGGTACATCCTTGCTGTAGTCGATATCCTACTCGATATCGTGCTATCGATCACCCCGTCGGGAGGATTTCGGAAACCCTGTACCAAAAACGTTTTCATCTCTTCGACGCGCTTTTCTTACTTCCGCCGCATTCCGCCGAGCTTCCGCTGGCTTCCGACGGCGGAGGCGGCCTCGTTTTACTTCCGCCGACCTTCCGCCGCCTTCCGCGGCGGAAGAGATGACAACTCATTCAATCCTTGAAGGCAAGGCCGTTTTTGGAACGCCCCACGTCGGGAGGATTCGAGCAAGAGATCGACTACAGCAGTGACGTACCCGACTGATTCGGTCGAAGCGAAAGAACGCATAATAACCCTCGATGGACGGCGATGTTTTTCAACTCGGGGGCACATCCTTTCTGTAGTCGATATCCTACTCTAGAGGCCTCCTGAATGGTGGCCGAGTGGATGGCGTCGGAGGATCGCGCCAATTCGCCGATGCATCGGCGATGCATCGGCGACGTCGGCCATGCATCGGCGACGTCGGCGTGGAGAACATCGGGCTCTACCTCAAACCGCATCGCCGACGCATCGGCGATGCGGCAGGATCCTCCGACCCCATCCCTTCCGACCCCAAGTCTGGGAGGCCTAGATACTCGAATGATGAGCAGGAGGGTCTGCGACGTCGTGGCCTCTGTCCCGCGGGGCCCCCGGGAGCTCTCGGCAACCCCGCCCCTGGGGCTCTGCGCCCAGGGGCCGCTTCCCGAGGAGGCCCCCCTCCCCCCCAGTGCCCCAGGGCGGGCCTCCCAGGGCCGAGACTGTGCGAGACCGGCGGCATGGAGCACACCACACCAGGAGGACGAGGAGGGGGGGAGGAGGAGTGGTCGAGGAAGGGGAGGGGAGAGGAGCGGTTGAGGGTGGGTGGGAGGGAGGAGGAGTGGTCAAGGAAGGGGAGGGGAGGGCGGGGACGGGAGGAAGAGGAGGGAGGGGGGGAGGGGGGAGGAACGGTGGAGGAGGCAGGGAGGTGGTGAGGGGGGAGGGAGAGAGGGAGGGAGGGAGGGAGGGAGGGAGGGAGGAAGGAGAGGAGGGCCGAAGAGGAGGGGCGGGCGGGAGAGAGGAAGGAATGAGGCAGGAAGGAGGGGTGGAGTGTGGCCGCTCCTGGGCAACCCCTGGCTCCTGGTCGTGGCCAGCTGACCCGCGGGGATGGGGCCGAGCAGGTACCACAGCATGAGAGGCGTGGAGGCAGGGTGCAGGACCAGGCAGTCCCTGCCGAGCCCCGTGATGATGGTCTGCGCCTCGCGAGGGGGGGGAGGCGGAGAAGGGGGGCTTGGAGGACGACAGGGAGGAGCAGGGAGGAGAAGGAGGAGGAGGAGGAGGAAGAGGAGGAGAAGGGAGGAGGAGGAGGAGGAGGAGGAGGAGAGGAGGAGGAAGGAGGAGGGAGAGGGAGGAGGAGGAGGAGGGAGGAGGAGGAGGGAGGAGGAGGAGGAGCTGGGAGGAGAGACGGGAGGCATCTCCCCCACCTCCAGCCGCTTCCAGCCTCCCCCTCCTCCTCCTCCTCCTCTCTCCTCCTCCTCCTCCTCCTCCTCCTCCTCCTCCTCCTCCTGGATCCCCCTCCTCCGACCCTCCTCCCAGCCACCGGCCGCTGCCAGTCTCCACCTCCTGCTCCTCCTCCTCCTCCCTCTCCTCCTCCTCCTCCACCTTCTCCTTCTCATCCTCCATTTCCTCGTCCTCCTCCTCCTCCCTTCTTCCTCCTCCTCCTCCTCCTCCTCCTCCTCCTCCTCCTCCTCCTCCTCCTCCTCCTCCTCCTCCTCCTCCTCCTCCTCCTCCCCCATCTCATCATCCTTAGCCGCCCGCGCCTCGTGCAAGGGCTGGCCCGCCGGGTCCAGCTCGCGGAGCCGCACGCTGACGTCCACGGCCGCAGCGGCGGCGGGCTTGGCGTACGAGGCGGTCGACTCCAGGTCCGCGCGCTCGTCGGCGTCCTCTCACCGTGGTCGACGACGTCGTCGCCGCCCTCGTCTTCGTGGTCGTCGCCCTGGTCTTCCTCGTCCTTCCTCCTTCTCCTCCTCAGTCTCCTGCTCCTCCGGCTCCGCCGCATCCTCCCGCTTCGCGCCCTCCCTCCCCCCACCTGCCGCTTCCTTCCTCCTCCTCCTGCTCCTCCTCCTCATCCTCATCCTCTTTATCCTCTTTATCCTCCTCCTCCTCCTCCTCCTCCTCCTCCTCCTCCTCCTCCTCTGCGCCACTGGGAGCACTCCAACAGGACGAGGAGGTTCTTCTGGCGGTGAATGGGTCATGGCCAAGAAGCATCTGGCTACCACCTCGCTGCAGTCCATTCGGCAATATGCACAAGCTGCACGCCAACCTGATCCTATGCGCGGGTTCGCCGCCATGATCTTGCACTTGTCCTCGGGCAACCTGGTCTTGGTATCAGTTTATCTTTGGCCAGGATTGGGAGTTTCTGGCAGAAATCGCCAAGTGCTGGTTGCGTTAGCTTCTTTCCTTCATGGGCTTGCAGACCCTTGGTTGGTTATGGGTGACTGGAATATTTCACCAACTTCCTTGGAAGGATCTGGCTGGCCTGAAAAAAATGGGGGCACACTCATTCTACCTGCTGACGTCAGCACCACGTGCGACAAAGGGCAGGAGGGCTCTCTCATTGATTTCGCAATGGCCAAGAACGGAACATCTTCCAGATACCGAGTTCGGTCGCAGCCTCAGGTCCCGTGGAAGACGCACTGTGCACTGCAGGTTGACGTCCACGATGGCATGCGCAGATGGTGGTACCAGAAACTTTTGTTACCTGAACCGTTTCCAAAGGTAGCCAGACCCAAGCTCGCTTCGGACCCCAGCAGCAAGAGGTCTATACTTCGAGCCCAACGGCAAGAGCAATAACGGGCACGCGTACCACCCGATCTGCTGGAAGACTACGACGCACTACACCCTTCAAGGAGCACTTTGGATCCTGAGTCCCAGGTCTCTTTTCATATACCTTCAGACCTGTGGGAAGAGCAGCCCTCCAAGGAGAGGCTCAGCTCTCAATGTTGCAGCGTGGTCGAGTCTGAGTTGTTGGGCCATATCAACGCACTTGGCCTTGGTGCCGTCACCAGGCAGTACGCGCGGTGGTCCTCAGGAGTTGAACGTGCTTTCGCACTTCATCATCAGCTCAACCTTCGACAGCGGGCTCCACGCGCAGCTGGATTTTCTTTGCGATGGATGCAGACCAAAGCTACCCCAGGGCGGGTGCACATGACTGATGGAGCTGGAGAATGGTGGGGAACTGTTCTCACCTTGGTACAAAGAATCATGGCTCTTCTACGATATGGCAAGGATCCTCGCCAGATAGCCATTTGTACCGCAGCTCTTGGTCGCTACGCCAACGACG